CACACACACACATACACACACACACACACACAGGCAGAACTATTTCTTGGATATTCATAGATAACATAGGTTTTACAAAGATAATAACACCGTTTACTTACTACAATAAAAGCGTGAGACAATTCTTTGATGTAAAGCATCGCCATCGTGATGTATAGAAGTATTTCGATGACGAAAAGATGAGTCTCGTGGAACTCCTGCCTTGTCCCTGTCTCCTTAAGAGAAAAACTCGTATTTAGATAACAGTGAGTGTTTAGATCAGAGAGTAAGACACGTGATATACTTATATTTCTTCATCATGCTAACAGATTGTCTTCAAGATGTGGCAACTGAGCTGTCAGACGCAACAAAGGGATAGGAGACTGGGGTGGGGACCCCTTGTATGAGGAGAAAGAAGAAAGGAAAGAGTTGAAATAATTAACTGTGATGTCAGGAATAAAAACGGTGAAAGTGGACGTAAATGTAAGTGTGGGGAAATGTGAAAGAAACATCTATATATGACGAGGCTGTTAAAAGAAAGATAAGAAACGAATTAATTACTAAATAAGGAAAATAGTTCTGATGTCTCTCATTAGAGACACGTTCATAGGTGTGACAAATATGTTCTGTTTAACAATAAAGCGATAAACGTAACTCAAGAATTAATAGGTCTAAGCAGCATCCTTGAAAAGTACACTTAGACAAAAAGAAGTGAACCCCCCCCCAAAAAAAAAAACACCCAAATTATCAATTCCGACTGAGAGAGGAGGAAGAGGAAAACATTTTTTTCGACCCATAGTCAATGCTAATCGAAATATTTTCATGCTTTTCCATTATTAAAAAAACTCGCGGCATGGCGAGGTGGTTTTAATTTTAATTTTGAGCACATGAACACAAAAACAGTCATAATTCAAGGCAGGAAACAGCAAGGCAGGCAGACGGAGTAACAGAATAACAGAAACAAGTGGGACCCTTGAACCAGTCCCATTGGCATGGCAAGGTACGGTACGGTGCGGTACAGAATAGCTTGGCATTGCTGCGTGTGTTATAAGTTATGAATAACAAATGCTAATATTTAAAATAAGAGAGGGAGAAGATAAGGAAGAGAGAAAGAGAGAGAAAGAGAGGGAGTGAGGGAGAGAGAGATAAAGGAAGAGAACGAGAGAAAGAGCGAGAGATACAGGGAGAGAACAAGAGAAGGAAAAACTAAGAGCAGTTACGAGAGAGAAAGTTTTGAGAACCTATCCTCCACACAAAACAACCCCCCCCCCCCCCCAGCCCAAATCAACAACAGATAGTTGTGGAAGTGATACTTTTCAAAGTAAATCTAGACAATATAGACAAGGACAACCAATAGAAATAATATGCATGAGAGTTTTGTTAATGTTTTATTGAGTATCTCGGTTTTTCTTTCTGCTTGGACGTTGTAATCCTCCCAACCCGAATTGGCCATGACAAGCATGTCGACGTTCGCTACTGAACTATTATCTAAGGTATCGATGGGTGGGGGGGGGGGGGCTTAAAAACACATAAAAATATCTATATTACGATACATTGTGGAGTAGCCTCACATTTGCTGACATCCCTTTCACAAAGTCACAGTCATGACTTCTGTCGCTTTTTGTTGGCTTATGAAAGCTGATGAAGAAAAGGAAGACGACCAGTCCAATGAAGACGAACTGCATGGTCAGATTCATGAAAAGACTCAGTCGACCGTAAATGTGCCTGGAGTGAAACAAGAAAAGAAAAATACAAGATGGGGACAAATTTGTGCTCACTCTGCTAGATCTACTATGAAACTTCTTAAGCACCAAAATCTAGTGGGTAAAAAATAATGTTAACAGATTGGAACAGGAATATTCTTGAGCAGTTAGGTATCGCGTGATGTGTGGTATGGTATGGTATTGTGCGAAGTGGCGTGGCGTGGTGTGGCCTTAAGATTACTTTCAACCAAGCAAGATTGCTTTAAAAACTGGACAAGTATAAATGTGCAATGCCAAAGCAACAGTTAAAAACTAAAAGCATTGGCAAGTACGTTAATCCTTACTTCTTCGTCAACCTCTTATCTCTCTTCCTCTCAATCTTCCCCCTCCCTCACTCTCTGTGCCTTTCCTTCCCCCCCCCCCTCTCTCTCTCTCTCTCTCCTTCCCTGCCCTGAACATTATTGTATTTCTGTTTATTTGACAGCATCTCACCCCCTTACAAACGCATCAAACTGACTCTGCAAGTTTGTCACAGTAACTAAATGAGAAAACAGAGAGTTCCTTTCGTAAAAGAAGAGCTCGAGACTCACCACTTATAAGAAAGAAGGCCCTGACACACAGGGTGGGAGAGTAGATCCTCCCGCTCCTTCTCCAGCATCGTCTGTGGCACGAGAACAAAAATGATTTTTAAAAAAGAAAAGAAAAGAAAAAAAAAAAGGTCGAAGTTGTTATTCGTTTATATCATTTTCAGGACATGCATATTGCCAATTTTTTTCTGACCAATGAAATGAACCTGCAGTGCAGCAAGGAAAATGTTCGATTAACTATTAATGTTAATGTTGTTGAATAAGAGTTGTTTTCTGGTGGTTTTTGTGTAGGATAAAGATGACATGTTCATATCTTAATAATTAGAAGAAAAAAACTGCATGTTGTACTTATACTGAAACCCCGGCTCACAAGATCGGTACAGAAACCCTTTATCCTCCAGGATCGTCAAATAGTCAACTCGGATGTGGGGACGGGTAGAGGGTGTGGTGATTTATAATATGTTAGTATATCGCAAATTACAGACTACAACAAAAGTTAAGGACCACCTTGACAGACAGCCCTGATTTTTTTTAATCCGAAAAAAGACAGCAAGGAATAATTCAAAATCTTTTGCTCAGAAAGTATGAATGGGTTACCAATGCGTACTGCAATGCTTCCTAAAGGGGCAAAACGTTAACGCGCTGCACGGGAATCCTCAGAGAATTTTTAGCCACCTTTTCTGTTTTTATCGACTTGTGTGCAACACTACGGACATGCCTCAGTTAAAATTTCTGGTGCACGTCATAAACGGACTACGGTCTCGAACTGTGCTCACTTTGATGGCAATATTAGCCGCCGTTTGCGCAAAATCCAGTACCGCATCAACGTGCCACCAAGACGAAAGCTGAGAGACTCTAATCGTGCCAGAGCTATTGCATGGCTGCACGATCGAGTTGCCAGAAGGATTGCAGTGTCACACTCTGTCATTGTCAGCCTGAGGCAGCGCCATCAAGCTACTGGATCAGTCGAAGAACGCCCACGTGCAGGTCGACCCAAGAAGGCCACTCAGAGTGTTTGCAAATGGTCCTTAATCTTTGTTGAAGTCGGTATAATCATTAAAACAAGGTTTATGACTGCTTCATAATGACTAATTTTAGAGAAATAAAAACAAAATATTGATTTTTAACGAATTGGTTTTAGGGCACCGGGGACCTTATTATTATAAACACTGTGCTGAACATTCAACTGGCCAAAACAAATCGACAAAATGCAAAAGAAAGGAAATTCTCGAACATTACGTACCAGTAAAGGATTGTTGTGCAAATATTCTGTGATGTGTTTGTCCGGCAGAGGATCAATGTACCGGTAGTTAAGCTCGACCTGAAACAAGAAAGTACGCTGTCTTTTTTAAACGGAAGAGCCAGCTACCATGCTGTCAACATAAGATCTGCCTATTTCTAATACGTTGTTAGGGGTAATTGTTGATTGAAACGTTTCTCTTATCTTCCTTTACCTCCGCCCTACCCTCTTTTTTATCTGCCTCTCTTTCTACCCCCCCCCCCTCTCCCACTCTATCTCTCTCTCTTTCCACTCTCTCTCTCTCTCTCTTTGCTCATTCTGTCCCGGTGTCTCTCTGTCTCTCTCTATCTCTCCTTCTTTACTCTCTCAGTTTCTCTCAGTGTGTTTTCTGTCTCCCCCCCCCCCCCTGTTTTTATCTCTTTCATAATATATCTTCTATTGTTCAAGTAACATTTATACTATGAGGATGAAAAAGTGAATGTTGTGACTATAGTTTTTCTAGTCGTGGCAAAAAGGAACAAAGGGGATAGAATTATATTGAACTTTTAGAAATGTTAAATAAAATAAATGAATACAAAAAGACCCACCAAAGAATCACTTGTTGTACACATTTAACAGATACAAACGGAATGGATCTAAATCTAACTTCTTCAGACTTTATTGGGTTTTTTTGTAAAACATTACTGTAATGAAAATACATTTCTACGGACTTTTAAATTTACTCAAATACAGAAATGTGTATTGACTCAGTTACATAAAAGTAAATTCACTCCGACATTTTGCCACAGACACTTCAACAAAATGACATGTTATGAGGGGAAGCAGCGGTTGCTGTAAGCTTACTGTATACTCTTCGTCAACTTCTTGGTTGTTAGATGTCTTCATGCAATTGTCCAGAAGTACCTGGAAAAAGTATGTTTAAGTAGGTCACAACAAGGCTTATAAAAAAAACCCATACAATACGACATTTGTAATAATAAATAATCTCCGAAATTGTGAATTCAGTGCAGTAAAATAATAGCAACAACATTAGTCACTTTTCATATTATATAATTCGAGGACGGAAAATTTAAATCCCCAAAAGCAGAAGATTCGACTAGCTAGCTCTTTTTGCTGGCTAAGAGAGACTTATAACGATTGTGAATTATTCATTTAATGTTTTATATTCATTCATAGTTTCTTTCTGCTTTTTTTCCTTGGATCACCGACATAATCACGCAAAAAGTTCTGAATAATAAAGCTGAATCCTTACAAAGACATTTTTGTTTCTTCCATTTGGTAATTTCGCAACAAGATCCATGTGTATCTCTGTCTCGTGACCTGACTTTTTTTCTGAAGTCTTCCCCTCCCCTTCTCAACCAGTAGAAAACGTCCAAAATGCGTACCCCCCTTCCCTTCCCCCCCCCCCACCTTAAATAGAACCAAAAAAATAGTTATATATTTATACATAAAAGGATAAGGAAAAAAGTAGAACGCCTCAACATCATCGTGCACAAGATACTAAAGGTGACGTTAATGATACGAATATTATAACATTGCTTACCTTGACAGCTAAAGGAGTTTTGCGTATCATTCTGTCCAAGCATGTGCGGCCATGTTTGTCTTTTACTGACATACTTTCCTCCCATCTGTGAAGTATAAATCTGGTTTTAGACATACACACGAATACATCTACATAAACACACACACACACACACACACATACACACACAGACACTTACATACACACACACAAACTCAAACACACACATACACGCCTTGATTGCATTTTCAGTACTCTATAACAAATCAACAGTTTGGAGTTTGAATTTTTCGAGGAAAAAAATGCACGTGTGTGTGTGTTTACGGTGGGAGGGAGGGGGCGGTAAAAAGTTAATAATAATTCTACACATAGCTATCCAAAACGTGTGTATGCAATCTTATTTTTTTAATCTTTAAAATGTACATGGGGAACGCCTATTGGCAAGGTTTGATCAAAATCTAGACCTTCGCAAAATTGTTCAACAACTGCACTTTAATCTGCTTTTTCTCAAAACACTATTTATTCTTTGTAGCGTGATCCGTTTTCCCGGAAATGAAAAGCAGAGCGTACGTGTAGTGCTGCATGAGGAAGACAGCGACGTCAGACATTTCTCTGTCCACAGCCATGTCCAGCGGACTCTGACCATACACGTTGATGTCGGACACTTTGGCGCCGTGGTGTAGTAGGGCGGATACCGTGGTCAGGTGGCCATGTGCGCACGCGTAATGCAAGGCTGTGTTCTATAGAGGTGAGAAAATACAGTAAGTGATGTACACTGGAGAATACAATGGTACATCGGTCTCATTAACACGTTGAAAAACAATATGCCAGTGTCACCATAGTGGCCATATACGCTCATCAACGACTACGTTAAGTGTTTTAAAATACACATAGACCTTCTTAAGAATAGAAAATATTGTTATCAAATGTTATGTGTTTCATTTTATATAATAGATAAAAAAGAACAATTTATGCACTTACCCTTTCTTTGTCTTTAGTTTCTACTTGAATGCCCATTTTGATGAGATCCTCCACGATATCGGAATACCCGCCTATCGCTGCCACCATTAAAGTGTTTCTGAAGAATGTATCTCTGGAAGAGAATGTAGAACCGTAATTTTCGATATAGCAATTTTAAATCTGAATATCTATAGCCCTGTAGCCAATCAATTTGTCTTTCACAGGAAAAAATGATCACCAATGTTTTCGTTCTTCTAGTTCGATTTTTCTGTCTTGCTCTTGACAAAGAAACTGCCTCCTCTCAGATGTCTAATATAACCTTTATGTATTGTTCGTCGAGTTTATTACGAGGCTTTTTCTCTTCCTCCTCCTCTTCCTCCTCCATCACCACCACCACCATAATCTCCTACCCTCCTCCTCTTTTTCATCCTCTTCCTCCTCTTCCTCCTCCTACTCCTTTTCTTCCTCTTACTCGTCTTCTTCTTCTTCTTCTTCTTCTTCTTCTTCTTCTTCTTCTTCTTCTTCTTCTTCTTCTTCTTCTTCTTCTTCTTCTTCTTCTTCTTCTTCTTCTTCTTCTTCTTCTTCTTCTTCTTCTTCTTCTTTTCCAAATCATCATCATCATCATCATCATCATCATCATCATCATCATCATCATCATCATCATCATCATCCTCATCATCATCATCATCATCATCATCATCATCATCTTCACTATCAACAACAACAGCAACAACAACAGCAACAACAACAGCAACAACAACAGCAACAACAACAGCAACAACAACAGCAACAACAACAGCAACAACAACAGCAACAACAACTCCGTACGTGTCTCTGATGATGGCTCCCTTCTCTATGAGCGCTGTAATGGCTGGCCGGTTGCCCGTCTCACAAGCCATGAAGAAAGGGCTCTTCATGTCATAGCACTCCTGGTTCACATCTTTGGTCGCCTCTGCCACGGTGATCACTGTCTCGTAGGACGATAGGCTGAAACAGAAGATCTTTGTTACTGTATTCGCGTGGGGTTCTTTTAGTTATTGTTATTGTTGTTGTTTGTTTTTTGTTGTTTTGGGGTTTTTTTGCTTTCACAATTTAACTCTTAGTCTATGGGGATCGGTATCCCTCATTAGTAAGCGGCCAGTTTTGTTACCAAGTTTTCAGTATCCCAAACGTCCTTATAACTCCGGTCATATTGAACCTGCTTGGATAAAAATTAAACACCAAATTGAATAGAAGTGAATGTTTGGCCCAAGCCGCAGACATACAGTTTGGTAATAGATTAATTAAAGAATTAAAATTTGCTGAGGTTTGGTAGATTTTTGTTACAACTGTTAACAAGCTATTGATGTTTTTAGCCGGCTGGACTGGCGCGTTGTACACGTCCTAGAAATGCATACTCCATATTATTATTTCTATCATTCTAAATTTAATGAAGAGCTCGGTTCGTATTAAGCAGGGCTATAATGCAGATGTCCTTAGTTCGAACTCCCACCTGTCATTCTTTATCTTGGATTGCGTTGGAATTTATAGATCCCCACCTCCACGAGACGGAAGCCGAATTCTGAGACACCCCCGCCCCCTGTCCACCTTTGCAAATTAGCTTAGAGTGTCTCTAGGGGTGATAAACAATGAAAACAAGCTCTGTGGATATATGAAGAGAAAAATTTGTTAACACTTCAAAGGCCAGGGTGCCTGCCTCAACATCCATTTATGAATCTTTCATTTAAGGAGCCAATAACTACAGACTTATGAGCCACATTAGCCCACCGTTAACTATTTTTGCTTAGCCGACGTATTAATCTGGGGTAGGGCATTTTGTGTGACCTGGTTCTTTCTCCCAAAAACTGCTTTTGGCATGGTAATTTTAAGACAAGGATGCTGTTATTGTTTTTAAATCTCTTTAGCTATGAGCATTTCGCTCTTGGCAGTGCAATGCCTCCCTCAAGAAACCACGTCCTTGTCATCTGGTCAACGCCAGAATAGAGTAGTCTTTGTAAGTGTGTAGGTGTTGGTAGGAGCCTGCGTTGAAGGACTGCCAGGTTTGGGCAGTGAAGGACAAGATGTTCAACAGTCTCTTCGTGGTAGTCACAGTGTCTGCAATGGGGTTCCCCCTTGAGGTTAAGTCTGTTTATGTGCTTATTGGTGTGTAAGTGTCCAGTGCGGGCTCGGAATATCATTGTCTGATCGGCTCTACATAAGACACCCCAGGTACCCAAAGAGAGATATTCCTGTTTCTGCGTTGGCCCACATATATAGCCACTCGGCTCTGCTTTTGGCTTCATCTGCAGGTCTTTAAAGAGGCAACAGTGTCTGTCTGGGGCAGGCTTGCTCCAGTCTTTGATAGCTGGTCTGCAGTCTCACTCCCTGGTACTCCAGAATGGCCAGGCACCCACTGCAGTGTACGCTGGACGCCATAGGAAGTGCCCATCTTTTTTACAGGGCTGAGAATGTTCCCGTCACCTCTGTAGTCTCCTCCTCCCTCGACGGCTTGGAGTACTGACATTGAGTCAGAAAAGACAACAACATCCCCTAGTCTTATTGTGCCTTCAAAAATATCTTGGGTGATCTGCTCCAAGGACAAAATGTTAATCCGATAGATATTAGCAACAAACCGCATTTTGTACTCAGATATCAATAAGCTTATAGGTTCGAGGAAGGGAATACTCTTTCCGCTGTACTTACCCTGCCGCAAGATGCAACGGTATCCTCCCCACAATCTCACGCTCGTTGGCAGAACAGCCATGCTGAATAAGTGTTCTTGCAAGCTGAAAAGATTGTATTAATTTGATATAGATTTTTTTTCCTGCGGTACTAAGGAATCAGTTTGAAGTTTGAACGACTACCCTCACTGTAAGAAAACTGAGATTGGATTGGAATTCTGGCCTAGAATCATTATGAGAGTGCGAACACGAAGTGAGAGGTGGGGGTTTAACTTGAAATTTATTTTTCCTTTTATTTTCACTTTCAGACCACCTGATACTGTCGATTTCTATGTGAGATCAGAACAGGTGAATCAATTTCCGACGCTCGTGATATAGATAGGATAAAAAATAGAGACATTTATGCTTAAGCACAGGACATTTTGAATTATCCACACTGTTCATCTCACTTCTTCGCTTGACATAAGAAAATAGCGTAAATCATTGTTTATCGAATTCCGCTTCTTCTCCTTGAAATCATGAGAAATGTGACAAACGTGTTGTAAATGCTGGTAAAATGAAAATACAAGTCACCTTGCGATAGACTGTACACTAAAACTAACATTAGGCTTGTGTTCTGGACACCTGTGATGAACGTACTAATAACAGGAGAATGAAAAAGCAAAAGCAAAATTTATTGACAGAACCACTCGATCAAAAATCTGCTAAGGGTTTCATTTCTCAAAGATATAATTTGTGGACGTTGAGAAGCTTCACACTCACAATGGCATTTTTCTGTACTGCTGCGACATGTAGTGCATTCTGGTTAAAGATATCTTGTGCTTCCACAAGCCTACTGTCACAGTTCTGTAGTTAAAATAATAAGAAGAAATACAAAAAGGTTGTTATAAAATTATAGATCTATATAAATTAACTGTCTCCATGAAAGTTGTTTATTTGTTTTGAAGCAATAGAAATCAAGTATGTCATAGATCTATGGAATAATTAGGCCTACCTCACATATTATTCTGCTCTCGAAATTACTTTCTCTTGGGGTTCAGAAGAGCCATTTCATTTCATTGACCAAAGAACATTAAAATGACTAAATTGGTGAGATCACATGATTAACGCAAATTCCCTACACAAGGAGTTGCAATAAATGTGGTGTAGACCTAATAAAATCTGCAACTTGCGAATAATCTGTGTCTGTATCTTGTACTGGGTCCAGTTTTAGATTTTCAGTTAAAACAGCTGCTGAAAAGTCCATTTGAGCCCACAGTGCATAAAGTTAATGCCCCTGTCCCGTAGAATTTCAGCTTATTTTTTAAACGAACTTCTGTCTTAACGACTGGTATTGGAGGCTTTTAAAGTAATTTGGGAAGTCTAGTATCTCATGGCAGCAGCTGAAGTGTCCTTTTTTCAGAATTACTTCAACCTGTCAACCTGCGTTCAGACAAAGTGTGGAGGCTAAAGAGATAATATCCAGCAACTGATAAGACCAGAGTCTGAAAGAACCCCACCCCCACCCCCAGTAATTTATAGTATGTCAAAACTAATAATGCTGGAACAAAGTAACACGCAGCTCATGACTGCAACCAACCTCCAACAAAACGTGCAACACCTCTGCGTGCCCTTCCTCTGTGGCGATGTGTAGACATGTTTTGTCAAACGAACCCCGAATTGTGAGGTCAGCTCCCAGGGTAATGAGTAGCTTTACCACGTCAATGTGACCTTTCTTGCATGCAATGAGTAAGGGAGTGCTGTTTTCCGTGTCTCGTTCGTTGATCTTTGCGCCCTGGGGAGTATAAGTTCAAAGGCGCACGACCATTTGAAAAGTTATATTTAATTTAAAGTGGTAGTTACAAGATTTAGATAACATTTTCAGCATAACACGGACTTTTTTAAAGTATGGATTTAAGTTGTTCATATTTGCATGTAAATATACAAATTAGTAGGAGGTTAATAAAATTGTTATATCTTTTTCCTCCTCGATGCCACCTGAACCTTTTTTTCTTGGGACCTCCAGTTCGAACTGTGTGGAGTTTTTTTCTCCTTTCTAATTTCAATGGCATGACCCCTCCCCCTTTTCTTTTCTCTCTTTCTCCTCTCTCTCTCTCTCTCTCTCTCTCTCTCTCTCTCTCTCTCTCTCTCTCTCTCTCTCTCTCTCTCTCTCTCTCGTTCGTCGCTTGTCCTTACCTATTCCCATCATGGTACTTGCACTCAGTTCCTGTAAACGCCTGCGCTCAACCAAGTCAATCATGATTTTATTGCTCTGATTCTTCGTCAACGAGCAATACTACAGCACCCCTGGGGAGGAGAGATGTATTAGATCCTACTCACCCCATCAACAAGAGCTGAAATAGTGTCGATTTTCCGGTAGCCGGCGGCGCTGCGAAGAGAGAAACAGATTGAAGTCCCGAGTGGCTTAACAAACTTGATGTAAATTGCGAGTTAATATCGTGATTGGTTTTTCAGAGAATTCACGGATGAATAATATTATGCGCTAGCGTAGGTATGTTGAATCCTAAGTGCTCTAAGATAAAGCGGGGAGTTTAAATACCTTAACAATCCTTTAGTATTGGGAAAACAAAGCAAGGGAAACAAAAAAGAAAAGAGGAATTGTTTAAAAAATTTAGAACATTATAGTAGCACCTTTTAACTACCTTGGTGGTAAACCTAACTGAAGACCCAATGTGACTGAATTAACTAATTTACAAAAGCCAGTTTTCTGTAAAAATATTTTTCAATAGTGCCACGTACACATTGATAATTTATCTGTGCGTTTTTTGTTGGGGGTTTCTTTTTCGGAGAAAAAAATATTTAATTTAAGTGATTACACTGGTCTCGAGAACATATATATTCATTAAAAAGTATTCATCTATACGTTTTCTGGAATACAAAACAACAAAAAAACAGAGTCTTTGCTGGAATAAACTTGGTAATCAATATTGAACTAAACAGAAAAGCTTCGAATGACAGATTGTAAACAAATGGCTTTCTATCACCCGCCCCTCCCTCTCCTATTTCATTCCCATTTTCATGTCCACACGGGTTAATTGAGAGAGTAAACAGACCGTTTTTCCCCATAAGGTAACCAGATAATGATTGGCGCACACGCCATATTGACGTGTGATACGGATTGTCCTGCCAAGAGAAGGGTGGGACGTGCGTTGTGGCGTGCCCAGCCAACAGTCATACGATGACATAACCGATGGGACGATAGAATGGGGAAAAGAACAGAAGGCGCAATGGTCCGTTGTTTCTTTTAATCGGCTTGGGGGAAAGGAGGGAGAGAGAGAGAGAGAGGGAGAGAGAGAGAGAGAGAGAGAGAGGGGGGGGGGGGGGGGGGATGAGAAGAGATAAAAAGGGGAAAGGGGTGGGGTAAATAGTGATAAGGAGTATAAGGAGTAAGAGTAGCCTATTGTTGCTTGCAACGCGTTGTGTAAAAGGATTAATACTATGTGTGGTCACAAATTGACATGAAGACTTCCGAAACTAAGAAAGGTATTACTATTTGCATCCAAGGAAAAGGAACGCTACTTACTGATCGTAAATAACAAGGAATGTTATACCTTATCTAAAAGCAATTTCGGTTTTTGGGTCCAACAAATTAAAATTGATACTGCTTTACTGTTTTCCACAAAAGTGTTTCTTCTCATCATCCTAGCTTTGCCCCCCCCCCCCCTTCTTCTGCTTCTTCTCTCTCTCTCTCTCTCTCTCTCTCTCTCTCTCTCTCTCTCTCTCTCTCTCTCTCTCTCTCTCTCTCTCTCTCGCTCTCTCCCTCGCCTTCTCAGGCGAGTTACGAAAATATAACCAACGTTAACTCCTTCACTAAAGATACACCCCGAGATACACGCAGTAGGAAGAGCGAACTAAATCATGGTAACAGACTTCTGTTCTTCGGAAAGTGAGAATTGCATTCCCAGGTACAACTTAGCCCTCCTCCACATCTACTCCTTTCCTCAATCACCACTGAGGTTACTCATTTTAGATATGTGCTTTGTTCAGCAGTGAAGATATCAAGGGATGCTTTATTCACCAGTACGGGATGGGGAGCGGGGAGCCTAAGCGATATAACAATTTTGGTGGAACGTTTCTTCTTTGTACCTTTCTAACCGTTTCCTCCCTAACTAGCAGACTGAAGTCTGTGGAGTAGCGACCAGGCGCTTCGCTCTTGCACGCAGTAGAAGGCTTGACTTCTCACTTCAATTCTCATATTATGTGGATAATATTATTTTTATTAAACTAGTCGGGTTTTTTTCTGCCAAGACGTTGTATCGCTGTCAGCCCGGCTTGGCCCTGACAGGCAAGGTCGCAGCCAAATGATCTAAGTTGTGTCGATAGGGGCGTGAAATACCTACCTGCATTAACTTCCGTTTAAAAAAAAAGAAATTAAGCAATAGATTTAGAAGCCTGCACGCGTCTACTGGCTGATACGCAAACACAAATCAAATCAATGCATCACCTGTCCTCGTTCCCACCTCTGTGGAGTCAAGAGCAATACTCACGTGAGCCATTTTCCCCATGATATTACGATCTAATGTAAACAAGCACCCTCCCAGTTTATTAAATAGCCAGATGACACAAGTCAAGAGCTGGTCAAATACACCTCCTCAAGAGAAAGAAGCTGTTACGTCCAAGGGAAAACAGTTCATTAGGGACTGGGACTGCTTCGACCTCAAAAATACAATGAGAATAATAGGTACATATTATTATTATGTATTATGTTTGCCCAAACGCATTTTGAAGGTGGTCATCATCGCTGACATTATGCCTCAAAGAAGACGCTAACGTGAAATTGTCTTCCTTCTAGTCTTCTTTCGTAACCTAACCTTTGACCTTTATAAGTTGTCGATCTTTAACGTCATTTTGAAAATACCTACTTCTTTTGAGATTCATTTTCCTAATATTTCCCACCATATTTGGCTGACAAGTCGACATCTTTTTTCAATTGAGATAAGCGTTAGCTCTAGGTAAGAGCTATTTAAATCATTAAAAAATGTACATGTATATGTCTCGACACGAAGGAATCAGGGGCTCTTCGATGTTTTGGGGCATAATATAATTTTCATGAAGCTTGTTCATTTGTTTTAATTTTTTATTTTAAAAAATACCCATTCACCCTGAATAGAGAACGCGACCCAGAGGCAGATCTCAGGCATGTGGGACACAGCTGGCTGGGGGTAGAAAAGATCACCCAGATCAGAGACAGATGGAGAACCCTTCATGATAGACTATACGCAATACCAAGGTTAAAGAGGCTAAAGATCCAGACTAAACGTCGAGATATTTGCAATTGAAGAAGGTTGGGCTCGGATGTTGTCAGAGATCAAATTAGAGATAAAATAGCATTATTATAGTTAATTGCAGCCGTCTATTTCAAGAATGGTGACATTAACCCTTGGTTTACACACATCTTCATCTGTAAATGAGTATAACCATGGATTGCCGATCAGGCTCTAAAACTCCCCTTTTCACCTTTTAGCCTATATATTACTACATGTATTTTATTGTGAATTCCATTCATTGAACAGAAAAAAACACCAATATAAATGAAGCTACCAAGTAAACAATATTAATTATTGTATTTTTATTCTGGATGTAGACACTGCACTGTTCCGCTCTGTCGTTAATTTAATACCCGTATGGGACGCGATGAGCTGTGTAAACCCCCCTCCCCCCCAAAAAAAAACCCCAGAAAATGTCTATAAAAAGGCAAATAGATTAACTCTCTTGAGCAGGCTGTTGTCTATATAGATAAAGTAATAATTATAAAGGCAATCTACTTCTTAAAGTTATACGCAACTAAACATTTTGGTCATGCATTTCTCTTGAAACATGCCCGCCTCTTACGTCGTATGGTATGATATTCCGGTTGTAAAAATCCGTTTTCTGACACAGGTATGATTTCAGACTCACACAGTGGGTTCATTGTCAGTATCTACTAACCTTGGGTGAAGAGGAATGGGGTTTGGGGCTTTTGTTAGGGTGTAGAAACAAAAATAATCGCCAAGCTAATCAGAACCTGATTCTTCCAAGAAGGCGGGCATATCAAAGATCCCCTTCAGCTTAATCGGCAATTAAAAACCACCTCAAATGGTTTGTTCCAAATCGGATCTTCCATACCCGCAAAATATTTCATAGTTGCTAGTTCCCTTCATCTGCTGTCCACTCATAATATATAATAGCAGAGCAGTTGTATGAAGCGAAAGAAAAGACACTCTTTACTGATCCACTTGGGGGAAATTATTATGAAATGAAATAATGCAAAAAACCAACAACAATATATTGCATATTATTATGTGTCTTACAGAACTGCGCAATTGGTGCGCTCAGCGATTCTGTGCAGTGCGTTTTTAGCAGACTCAAGGACATTGTTGGTCGTTCTGTGTGAAACTGCGTACACAATCTATTCAATCACTTGTTATACCCTGTCGCAAAGCTAATAAGTGTGCTTGACATGACAATCATCACAAACTACGGAAGGGGAAAATCGAGCGAAAAAACTAATACAAGCAAGCTGTGATATCAGTGAATACAGCAATAATGGCATGCTACAAGCAAACGCCCGGACAGTCAGTATTTTGCCTGAAGGACATGTTCAGAGCCGATGAGGGAGAGGGAGGGCGATATATATATATATA